TATTATACATATACGATGTACCTATACCTAATCTATATTTTTTACATTTATATAACACAATAATAAATTAAGCATACTAATTAAATTGTTTTTTTGTCTACAAATACCGTTTCTAAAATTCTAAGTATAGCTAAGGTAACTTAGCTTATACTTGATAGTATTTACAAATTACAATATTGTGTATTTAAAATGTAAACGTTATTGACCTCTTTTAAAAAATCTTACTTACATACAACTAAATCTGTAATAAAAAAAATGAAGAAGCATCACTTGTTTGTATCTGCGCCTAAACAGATGAGAGAAGTTTTACCATATTGTGGATACCTTTGGTTCGTATTTCTCGGGAATTTTAATCAATATAATACTATGTATGTGTTACACACAGAGAAAATTCAAAGTAAAATGATTCTTCGTAAAATATATTAATAATTATATATAAAAGCATGTACAAGATGTACATATGGGAGGCACTCATACTTTACTTTATAGGTGCGTTTACCAAAAATTCAATTATTGAAAAATTGAAATTAAAGATGAGTTATCGCATTCAAAAATAAGATTTTGAAACATGCATAGTGGAACTCAGTATAAAATAATATTGATATTTTATGAGTTCTTAATGCTTATAACTAAAAACTGTTTTGATTTCCATACATATATATATAGCCTTATGTTTTAAACTTTAACTACGTTCTCCAATTATTATGTAATTTCTACAACAATTGTCAGTTCTATTAATGTTTACTTTCGTACTTCCCATATATTTACAACCTAATTAACCATATTTATTTTTTAAGTTATCAATTATGATTCTTAAATATTACTCTGACCCCGTCACTTGTAGTAGAAATTAAATTTAAAATAAATAAAAATAAAACTTAAGTACCAAAACCACATAGAAAGTCTCAAAAAGTCTAGACACGTATTAAATTATATTCACTGAAACAGTTGTAACGCATTTACTTAAAAATAATTAGTATAACTTTCGAAGTGTTTAAAGGAATAACTATAAAAGTTTTCTCGATCCAAAATATTTGGAAAACATCCATAATTCATAAACCCCTGAAATACCGAACAATACCAGGAAGTGGCAACGTATTTCATTATAAAATATCGCATGAAATTAAGAATTTACTACATGTGCTGAGTATATTAAGTATTTTAAGTCATATAAAACGATAAAAATACTTATCAATTTTATGGGTATGGCAATCGTGGCCGATGATGCTGGCCGCCGTCGGGTTTTCATAGCATAATATTAAACGAGTTTCACAAGCATAACGTTAAGATCATATAATTGAAATTTAACTATGTCATATTAAAAACAATTTTAAATTGAACAATTTTCAAAAAAATTTTATCTCAATCTTGTAGTTTAAGAAAAAGATAATAATAAATTTTTTTCCTAACTTATTAAACAATAATTATCTCATAAGTTTTCTGGTTATATCGAAATAATATTTGTATAATTTACTTAAACGCATAGCCTGATAGATATATTTAAATAAGATTAATGTGAGACTGTTATTTGTGGGACTGTGGGAGTATGCTGCAGGTCTGCCGTTTTATTTTATAACCTGTTTTACTTTTATAATAAAAAAAAAAATGAAAAATTGTTTTTAAGACTTGAAATATTTCAGACTCCAGCAACATAATATGTAAAACCAACCTGGTCAGTGGTCACGTTTATTATAATAATAATTATAAGTATACCTATACTTATAAAATATTGTTATTATACTTTATTTTGTTTTACACGCGTGGAAGTAGCTTTTTAGTTGACTTAAGTCAATAAAAACGACAAAGTTCTTCTTTAAAAACCAATTTGAATGTAAGTCAAATAATAATTGTGGATTAATAACTAGAAGAAATGTGACGTCATAAATAGTGTGAAGGTCATAATGGTTTTTCCGAAGAGTTTTATTACATTTGTCTTGAATTGTATTAGTATTATATAATATCTACACTTAAGGTCCTGTCATGTGGCGTCATGTTTTGTATACATTATTTCTAGAACGGAAACCGTTGACGAATCAATGAGCAATTTTTAAATATGTTGACGAGTTTTGTTACGCCAAAGATTATTTGTACAGTGAGTACACCTAATCTATATGATATATTGAATATTGTCTATTGTCTATTATTTCACATTCATGAATGACACTGCAGTGTTATAATAATAATGACATCTTATGTTATATAAATGACATCTTTCATAATTAATTTATGTTTGATTTTTTTTTTGTGTATTTTAATATGACAAAAATAAATATACCTATTTTCCGTCGTCCTTAATTAACTAAAAATATTTATCAAATTGATTGAACATGTATACAATATTAGAGAATTAGAATCATTAATTTTCCTTGAAACTAATAGAAGAGTAAAATAAGTGTACTATTAATATTTGTTATTAACCTTAAATAGGTAGTATATTGACAGTAGGCGTGAAATGGATCACTGTAATCATTACAGTGTATATCAAATTATTATTATATATAGGTACCTACATTTAAAACAAATGATAAATTATCATATTCAAAATCGGCGCTGACCATAGAGGTTCACCACCTGCATTGTTTTATGCAAGCCTTTAAAATGTTAAATAAGACATACATTATTAGTTTTCCTAGAAATATTAGGTATAATTAAAATAGTAGAATCCATTAACCTTGTTATTAAACTTGCAAGTCTTAATAGGTAGGTATCCAAAATTAGTGAAGACAGCCATCCAGCTAATTACAAAGGCAACTCGAAAGGCAACCAATGTTGATTAGTGTATCAAAAACAATTACTTCGGATCCTTGAAAATATCCAGTGGTCACTGTCTAAAAATCTGATAGCCCATTCAGTAAAACAAAATAATATTATTTATTATTTTATTCTGTGTCAAATTTCATATAGGTACACATAACATATAGCTAGTTATGTTACATAAATATAATGTGGTATGAAACCTTCTCATCTGCCGTCAAAACTCCTAACCTATGCCCTGACTACATTTAAAAAAAAAACATCAAACTTTAAAGATATTATAAATAATTAATTAATAATTTTTGTTTAACTTCATAGTCCATTGTACATCGTGAACTATGGAGTACAATTACGGAATTGATTTTATATGTATATGTATATTTTTTGTCTCTGTCATCAATTGGGTAAATAAAAATGATTCAATTTTCTATACTTCATCATCTTTTTAGGAAAAATTCAAAAACGAATAATTGAAGATACTTTTATGCAATTAAAAAAAAATTCACAATAATTTTTTATGTGACACTGAAATTAGCATTTTGTTAATGTTGTAAATTGTTGTTAACAAAATTTGTCAAAATCACGAAAATTTAAAAATTCTTTTGGGTTAAAAATTCATTACATTTTTCCTGTTTTTTTTTTAAATTCAAAAATTTAGTTCAAGATTATTTATATATTTTTATAATAAGAACAAAAAAAAAATTACCGGAGAGTCATATTAATTGTCAAAAAATTTTAAACAGCATAATAATATATTAATACATTCATGTATAAACTTAATTTAAAATTCATTCACCAATTATTACAGTAAATACTTGAAATGTTCACTAAATGTTTATTTTATCATTTTCTATAATACATGATTACATTTTTAAATTAAAATGTTTTTTTTTCATTCTATAATTATCGATAAAAAGAGAATTTTGAATATAAGGTTCTTTATAGGTTGTTAAATTCAAAAATATTATAGATACAAATAAACACAATAGGTTCCTAATGTATTGCAGAGCGGTAGCCATTTGCCAACCTTTTTAAGAACTGTTTTACTAAAACTTTCTTCTCACTTTCCTCAGTACTATTTTTCTCTGTCAACTACTATATGTTACTGTTTTATTTTCTTTGTATTTGTCATTTAGCCATTAAGGTACTTTTCATTTTCATTATAAATTATTATAAAATCATAAACTTTAAAAAATTAATAAAAATCGAAAATTTCATAAGACTATACATATTATGGTGTATAGAAAATGCTAATATAAATATTCAATGAACATTTCATGTATCAACGGTAATTATTTTAGAGTTACAACAAAAACTGAAATCAACTTGTAAAATTTCTGTTTTTCCCGGCGCTTTTGAAAACTTCTGATGAATTACTTAATTTTAAATTTTTATCTCCCGAATGCACCAACTAGATTCACTTACCCACCGGGATAGATACTTAAGTTGAAAATTGAAGCATTATTTCGACTACTTATCGTGTACACAGAAACAAAAAAATAATAATTATAAAACACACATCATTGTTAAATCAATACATTTATCGTTCCTCTCAGAATCTAAAATATAATTAATTACCAAGATAAATGATAAACTATAACATAAGTATAAACAATTTTAAAAAATGTATACCTAAACATTTAAAAAAATCCTAAATATTGCATCTATAATAAAATGAATTTGTCGATATTAGTATCTCCATTTAGATATTTCAACGCAATAACATTATAAAAATTAATTTTATTTGAACTGCCAGAGATGGAATGTATTTTGTTCGCATTCTATTTGATGTAAGTGAGTGATATTTGCAAAATGTCGAAATATGAACAAACATTGATAATATGGTTACCAACTGTCTATGTTTCTTTATTTATATATACGTTTCGTATCAAAAATCTTGTCATAAATAAACTATACTCTGTAACAGGTAGTTAATAGATATATAGAAATTAAAATGTAGTTATTTGTACCAAAAAGGTAGATTATCTGCAAGTAATTTAAATGTGCACTATCGTGCCGTATATAGTTTTTAACGAATGCTCCTTTCAGTTCATTTGACATTCATTTTTTACTTGACGACTGGGTTTAAATGAATTTGGAGTTAGTCAATACTCACTTAGTCCAAATTACACCTAACAAAGTGTACCTACCTAAGTGGTTGGGTTTAATTTGTAAGAATTTTTTTGAATTGTAATAGATTCGAAGCTATGTCAAAAAAGAACAGAGCGACTAGGTTGGCTCCTTACCCGATCGCATGAAAGGTTAGACGTGGGACCAATCCTTCTGGAGTTATGAGCAGGGCACAGCGTCAAAATTCAAAAGTCGTTGGTGTTCGAAAATAATAACCAGATCCGCGACGACGACAACCGACAGGTCTGCAGGTCACCAACCTTTTCAATTGACTTTGTGTAATTAATATTACTATTTCCGACTATTTCGTTTTAATAAAATCTAATATCAGATGTACATTAAATTTTCATTTGGTGTTTGTGTCTTATCCTCACCTCTCACGCATCAATTTTCACTGGAAAAGAATAACCAACAATTAAAGTAATCTCAATCTACGTCACTATTTAAATTTATTACACTTCACACATGTCTTTTTTACGTAAATAAAAATTAAAAGTTAAATTTAACATTTAACATCAAAAATATCTATGATATATGAGTTCGAATTAACTCTCGTTTCACACAGCTTCACCCTATCCCCTGAATCAACGTCTGGTACACAACATCGTTTTTAATACCTTTTTAGATTGTATAGGAATTATTTATCGATCGTGGTTTTCAATTTTATTTTACGTGTTTCTTTTTTGAATCTAGTGATTTTTTACCATTTTTAGTTAGTCACTTGAAAGTTATATTTCCTAACCTAAGCGAATTTTTATATTAAAATGTATCATACACCATATAATCTTCAAAATATTTATATTAATTTTAAGCTTTTACCTATTTATTCTTCAAACCTATTCACACTGTTCTATAGTAAGGCCGTATTGACTCAAAAGTCGATAACAATAATATAATATTACAACAATGTAGATTATTATAATAAGTAAGGTTTTCGCAAACATTAAACCAACCATTTATAATACTAATAGTGTCCAAGTCCATCTCCGATCAGAATCATTTTTCGTAGATAATATCATTGAATTCAAATTTAACTCATCCATTACAATGGTCCAGTCGACACATATACTGTTCACTGTTCAGCAGAGTGGTACCCACTTGACCAACTTTTTTGAAGTCGGATAAGTTTAAAGTCAAATAATAATAAAATAGAAAACAGATATTAAATATAAAAAATAAAATTACTATAAACTTTAAAAATAGGTGTTTGTACTCTGAGATTACTCAAATACCATGAAAAATGATTTAACGTGAATGCGTTTTGTCAATGTTATGCGTGTGTCTGAGAGTGAACCCAAATATTGTGCTGACATGCTTTTAATACATGCATATATTATAAAAATTCATAATAGGTGCCTTTGTAGATACCCCTACATATTTAATTATTCTATTATTAGTTATTAGGTATAGTGACTATAGTATAGTCCATAATTCACTTTTAATTAAAATACCGTATATTTAGTGCTTTGTTTGTTTATAAAACATAATTCTAAAATTTTTAATTTTAATTTTGACTCACCACAGCATGATGGGAGCTTAAGAAGTTAAACAGGTGTTATATTGTTGAATAAGTATATCGTAAATAGGTACATAATACATAATTAATTAAAATTAAATAATAAAACAAATTTTAAATTGTTTTGCCCCTTTAATGGACGTAATTTCTCAATAGTTTTTATACATCAATGGTTGAGAAAACATGAGGTTTACTGAATAGTAATTCTTAATAATTAAAAGTCATAAGTGATAACACTTTTATTTATTATACCGTTGTCTTATTTAGCTTGAACGCTTCGAACAGTATAATAATATTATAAATAACCTAAAGACCCGAGATTTAAAGCAAATATGTACGTTATGCTTTTCTCAGAATTCCGTAACTAGTGTTATTATGACGAGATGGCTTAGTTGCACTTTTCAATAATTACTCCACTTGATATACACATTACCTAATGTAATTCTTAATTTTGTACAGCAACTAGCTAGAGGAAAACTGAAAACATATTGCCTAATCTTATGCCATTAAAATTTAAAACAAACATCTTAATTCAAAATACTGAAAAATCCAAGGTAAACTGAACAAAAACGATAGAATAAATAACGCAAGTCGTAACTTATGATTGTTTAAGTGTATTTAGATTAAGTACCTACCTACCATAAATTGATACTTTTTTAACGTCACGGTCATTTGACTCATTTTATCTTCAATTAGGTAGCATCTAGTAACATGTTTTTTTAGTTACACAAAATAAACATGATTTATTGGACCTTTCACACTTAGTATAAATTGTGAATACAATTGTTCCTATTGTAATTATATTTACTTATATTATACATATTCTACATATTGGAATATGTTAACAGTAAACACAAATTACAAGTTTTAGTCGAAGTGGTCGATTTTAGAGGATGGAGGTTACCATAACCATGTAGACTATATACATATTACATAAAGTTATCGGTTACCCATATATTTTAATGTAGTTGATTAAATTTTATTTTAAGTGCATTGTAAATAATTAGAATGTAGCTTGTGTTAGCAGAACCCTCAGAAAGATGAGTATTTTTCAATTCAAACATGTAATATGACTTGCAGTTTGATACCAAAATATTGAAAAAATAATAACGAATAAAATCTTAATACCTGTAATGCTTGTTTGTATTGTAGTCCGTAAAAAAAACACCGATGAATTAGTTATAAGTCGTTGTCGAACTGAAGAGCGTGAAAAGATAAGCGACGTATAATCTTTGACAATTGTATCGGATTAATTTGAGTGAGCATCGAGTGAGCTACATTTGTTTGAGTGAACAGCGAAAACAACTAAGTACTCAAAAGAATTAATTTTAATCGATAATCGTCGAAATATTATTATAATTTAAGCAACAATAGTAACACATTTTTTACACCATAATCTACATAATACATAAAACAAACGTGTGGGCGGAAATGGTAACGTGCGTCGGTACACCGACGAAGTGTATACTACATAACATTCGTACGAGCGGTCGCTGAACAAACCACGCCGAAACGGTTGGCGTGCCGGTCCAGTACTGACTATATTATTATAGACTATGGTGGCCGTTCTTTACCACTGGTGTGGCGGTGTGTGTCTCCGCCGTCTCCGGTGTCGTCCGTCCGTCGACCGCCCCGACAATCGCTTCTCCGCACTCACACATAGTACGGCGGCGGCGGCGGCGGTGTGCGCGCGCGCACGCACACGCGTCGAATTTACGACAACGGCCGCCGCAGCTGCCTGCGAGCGGTGGTGGCAAACGAAGACGACACGACCGTAAGCCCACAAAAAATATATATGAATGCCGAGTGTAGAAAATCGACCGGGTGTTACGAACACAACGACGAAGCATGCAGACCACGAGGAGTCTACTACCGCAACGTCTGGCCGAGGAATGTAAGGCGACGGACGGGCGTGTGTAAAATATTGCCACCCCCTGTCCACGCTGGGTGTGTGAGCAGTGGCGTGGCTGTGAACCATTTTTTTTTTCTGGGAGCGGGCAAATTATTAAATACTTTGCTTTAAAATAATGATTGCGGTAATGTCCTATTGACGTTAATTAGTCGATTAGTTATATTTTAAATCTTAGCGGAGTCCCTATATACAGACTAGGAACACGCCAAGAAAATAATAAATTTAAGAGACCCTAAAAAAAAACAGAGAGGCCCCGGCCCCAGCGGCCATGACCAGGCAGACACTGATGTTAATCCACGAGGACTCGTGAAATAAACACAATAATAATCGTATAATAGTATAATATGTAGGCCTATATATAATATCATATTCATACATAGTACCTATATTATATATATACATTATACAAATTATACGGATATATATAGTTTGAAAATACATATGTATTATACAGTATAGTATTATTAGTAAAGATTTTTAATCTGTTAACCCATTTTCCAAACGGGTTCAACAAATATTTTCCACGTTTTGTTAAGAGGATGTCGACGTATTTATTCTCCCTCTGACCCACACACACATTAATGATTATAATCATAATAATTTCTAAAACAAGAGCTCATTTCGCTCTTATAAAATGTAAAGGTACGGTTATTATCTAGGACATTTCATAGGCTTTTTATTATATTTTAATTTTAAAGCGAATTATGAGTATTTTAATAGGTACAAAAAATTTACAATTAATGTTTCAATCTTAAGAAATTTAATTGTTTAAATACTAAATCGTTCTAAACCCTTTATAGGTTAAATAAAATGAATCGATATTTTATTTTTCAATACTTAATATATTTTGGAGTACCTAACTGGAATTACATGCAAGTCTACCTACATCCCTCCAGATAGTCCAGACACGGCAATATGGTGTTGGTGGAACACGTCTTTAGGAAGGGATGAGTCTTCAAAATATTGAATCGATTAAGCTAAAATGTTTATTTCCCAACCATAATGTGTTAGTGGGTTGCGCAAAAGTTCCTCACGATTTTATAAAAAAAAATATATAATAAATATATGAAAAATAAAAAAAGAAGATTAATACCAGAAAATAAATAGTATTAATGACAAGTTGATAGTGATAAGTTATGATTATAATAAAGTTCAATATCATAGATTGTGTGGCTCACAACGAAATTATGAGTATTAACTGAAACGTCAAAACAATCATTCATTTTTTCGATATGTAAAAAAAATTGTATTTCTACGCTTGAAAATTTCTATTCACATAATCACATAGTATGTATTTAAAATATATTAATTTAAATATAATAAAATATTATAAAATATTTATTACTATAAATACAGTATAAACCCTAAAATCAGGCGACCAGCTTTTGACGGCCGGTTTTTATGCCTATATATGCCTAGTATAGCCATATAGATAATATTGAGTGATTTGTAAATCTATAAATAGTAGAGTTTATGGTTCGAGGCAACAATCAAAATTCATAATATTATGTCTGTAGATAGTGTATGGGTCTATATGATTCCAGTGTGTGGGAGCAGAAGTGCACTGCCCATCTTTCCAAGTGTAATATTTTCATTTTTCCATTATCACTAGTAAGTATAGTTATTATATTTTGATCAAAAACAAAGGTACCTACCCCATTTTTCATCAAACTATTAACAATAGCTACTAAGTTTACTACAGATTTATAACAAACAAAATAGATTACTTCTTGTAAGTTGTATGTATGTAGTATGTCTTGGTCAGTGCCGTATCCAGCGGGGACTAGGAGGCTTCAGACCCCTCTCCCATTGCCCTGTTCCAGTATAAATCTTGTATAATAAAAGGCAAAGTATAATTCATTATATTCCTGAAAACGGGTTCGTTTCAATTATGATGGAGCTGGGATGTTACTGCTTCTAAAGTTATAACCATGCCACCAGAAGGTTTTAATAAGTGTACCACGCCATTGAGTAAGCCAAAGTTGTCTGTAAGGGTGAGAGCCTTTTCGACCAAAATCGGGCCCTTTCCTTTTCAGTAGATTCACTTTTCAACCAAAATCATATTATAGCCTTCTCTTTTCGGCCTATTCATTTTACAGCCAAAAATATTACTTAATATTTACTTAGAAAATAATGTTGATTATATTATTTTATTTTTAATAATTGTCTAAAATATTATATTTAATATTCATTGACGAAAACTATTTACTATTATTATTTATTTAATTATTATACACATTTTATACAACTTACCTGTATTTTTAATAATAGTCTATAATATATATGACGTATGTATGTACAATGTGCGCATTAAGTATATATTAAACTTTTCGTTTTGACCGAAAAGGGGAGGATACGATTTTGGCCGAAAACCTCCATGCCCGTCTATAATATAATGGATAACACACTATGTTCAATACTTCAATTTAATAATTGTACACAAAAACCGATTCTGTGCAATGGAGACCACAGGAATCACTATACATTTCTAAGGATAGTTTATATTATTATTATTTGTGTTTTCCTAATTCGGAAAATTGAACTAATTTTTGTTAACGACTTAGCATATCATTATAAATGTCAACCTATCTTAATTTAAAAATATTATAAATATTAACGGTATTAGGTACCGTAATGATATGAAACCTCAAATCTGAAAAAAAATTTCAGTGGTCAAAAATAAGAATCAATTGCAAAAATCTATAAGTTACACTTCTAAATATTTATAATATACATAATGATTTACTATCAGGGCTTGCACACATTATGTTCATAATCACGTGATTAAAACAGAACATGATGGACGAACAAAATAAAACATAATGGTTACCTAACAAAATATATAGAATATCATTAAATAAAACATAACGAAACACAAAATAATTAAAGCTATTTTAGATTTCGGTTTTATAAAAATAAAATCTTTTTTTCCATTTCTATTAGTTTTGTAGAAATATTTTACCACGGAATTTATTTTTATCTTAGCGAGAATTTAAGCATTATATCCCGTATCCTGGTCATTACGGCATTACCAATTAAATATTATTGTTAAATTTTTAATATTATCGGTATTTTATTTATAGTACCTAAATAGAAATGTAACATTACACCCTGACCCTTATGGCCCCACATCACAACTACTACGCAGTCGATTTTTGACGACCTAAAATATGTTTCCGTCTTACTATAGCGTCATAAGTCATAAGTTCATAACATATCAAATTTTACTAAAAAAAAAATCCATTTTGCTCTGTTATTTTTAATATTTTTTCTTTTTAAAGGGAATCGAAGAACTATTATCAAATTTACAACCAGAAATATTATCTAGAACACATCTAAAGCAGTATTTTTGATGTTTTTTATTTTGAAGCAAGCATCAATTTTATTATGTGCATTGAACAATCGACAAATTTACAATTTTAAAATGCTCATGACATAGTTCAATCTTAAAATCTCAAAAAAACCTATTTTGTCCAAATTTAAACCTAAAATGTCTATAAAAAAGAGCTGTGTATATATTTTTTTAGATTTTTTGGTTACAGCATGAAATACTTACTTCTTAATCATGTTTAAAATGTTCAATCCTAAGCTATAAAAATTGAACACTTTATACATTTTTAAATACAAAATAATTTGTACATATCCGAGATTTTAATGAATTTGTCAAAATTTGAATTTTATATACTCATAAAAAAAATCGTCATATGAATCTTTGATATTTTTCTGCAATTGCTATTTATAACAACTTATGAGGAACATAGTACTACATTTTCAGGCTTTTCGATCCAACGAAAAATGTTTTATTGACATTTACAGAAGAAAAACCTAAAATAAATTGAAAATTGGGAATGTCTCTAAAAATTCAAAACTAGTCAAAATATTTTAAAATTTTTATCGTGCATAGAAAAAGATAAAATTAATATTTGGCGAATAGTTCAAGTAAAGATGGTTTATAGTTTTTGAATTATTATAAAAAAAACCGTTCCATAAGGATTTGTTAATTTACGGATAAATATCCTATGTTTAACTTCAAACGCTTGTAAAAAAATGTATTTGAAATTCCGCTACAATTTTTTTTTATAGTGTATGAAAAATTATGGAGAATTTCGTATCAAATTTTCAAATATTAGATGTACAAAAAAAATGTGTATTAGATGTGCAATTTTGAACCTTGAACATGTTTGTGAACAAATGAATAATAATTATAGACCTATATCAAAAATCTCATATAATATGGCATATTGCGAAAATCTTTATAAATTTATTAAAAATTACTACAGTCCTTAAAAATGTTTTTGAATATTGAATAAGTAAATACATATATTTTGTAATGGATTTACAATCCGTAACATTGCAATTTTTAAGCATTCTTTTGTGAATATTTTCTGTTAGCCGTAATGTCGCAATCTATATTAATTTCAAACAAGCGTTTGACAAAATATATCATGGTATCATACTACACTAATATGAACTAATGGTTTATTAAATTAATGAACTTGGTTTCAATCATTTTTAATTTATGTAATCTAAAACAGAGGTTCCCAATTTTTACGGTACTACCCTTTTTGGAAAAAATTTTAATTTATACAGCCCTCGGCTTACCATAATTAGCTTTATTTTTAGTTTTGTTCATGATCACTATCTTTGAGATAACTAAGTACGTTAGCATTGTGGTGACACGGCTAAGACATCACTTGGATAAGTACACTGGTAATCGTC